GGGTGTTACTATTTTTTAGAATTCATGTCAGGGGGTCATTGAATTTTTTTTTGTGCGGGGGGTGGGGCAGGACATTTTGTTTAGTTGTTAACTGAATTTTGCCGGCCCACCCCCGCTCATAAATAATGAATGGTCCCTTATTGAATCAATATGTTAAGTTTCAGGCCAGTTGTACCAAAATTTATAAGCGCTTGAAGACCATAAAGGCGGATTTCGACATTTTGCGATCACTTTCTTCTGAAATACAAGCAATCAAACGCAATGGATCAGGTGGACTGAACGCGTTTCAAAAGAAAGTGATCGCAAAAAGTTGATCTTGCGATATTTTGCACTGAATGGAAATCGGCATGAAGGCTTTAGTCACAGAAAGTCACAGAATAAATAGTAGACCAGAAGGGACACTCCTATGTGTTTTGACTGGGGAAAAACGTCCGAAATTTATTACGTTCTATGACGCCATCCTGGAGTACACACGGCACTTTCTATCAATGTTTGTATCCATGAAAAACGTCTGTGGTGCACTCCAGGATGGCGTCATATGATGGCGTATTTTCACATCTGGACTCGTCGAGTGACACTTCTGGTCTATTCTGTGCTTCAGTTGTCTTATGATTTATCGCGATGAGATACATTTCACAACACTTTACATGGCGGATTTCGGAACATGGGCGGAGGCACTGAGCAAAGGAGCGCGGGCGAAAAAGGGTGAAGGAAATGAAAGACAACTAAAGCCTCTGAGGAGGAGAGAGGGCATGCAACATGTACGCACTGCGTACCTATTTTTTACCAAATTCTATTATGACGTAATTATAATGCAGCTTGAAATATCTTCTGTCGGTCGATAGGACTAACAGTTGAAGGTTTTTGTTTTATGGAAATTTTGAGCCGACGATTATATACAATTTTATATTTAACCAAGAACAGCTGCGAAAAATACAACTACTGTATAGGCCTTCTGCCAGGAATTAAACTAGCCTGCGAGACAGGCTCTGGTTGGGGGAACGAAGAGCCTGCAGTTGCTTCTAATAAATTTTCGTGCCGCCCTTACAATAAATTCAAATTCGTTTTGTAGATTGAGCAATCATATCAGAGCAGAATTTTGTTGTTTTCTTCCTACGAAATGTCAATCACGCACGTGTCTTGCGATATATGTCGACTTCAATAAATTAATACAGGGATGGCAAACATCAGAGTTTTTGTTAAAAGCAATTTTATATAGTTAGAGCAAATGCATTTTTTCGCCCTGAGTTTTTCTCGAAGGAACTAATCAATATGCTTTGAGCAAAAGTATAACCGGGAATGCAAAGCCTTCTGCAAGTCGGACAGTTGTTTGAAATCCATCAAACCTGATCAATTCCCAGTATTCTCAAACACCATTGTATATAGGGAGATTAAGGTTTATTGCCCAATACTAAACACTTTATTGAGGAGCGCACGCAACTTCCAAAATTGCAGGTAATGAAAATGAGCGAGCATTCAACGCTATATTACTTTCGCAACATCAACACTTATTCGGTGCAGAAATCCTAGAATACCTGCACTCGCGTATAGGATGTTGTTACAATTCCTGTATTTGCTGACCGTTTTGACTATTGATATTACTGTTGATTTACGTGTCATTAGAGCTATGGCCAATGAAAAGCGAGCGTTTGAGGGCGAACGCTATATGCAAAACAGACTCAGTTGTCCAGCTCAAACCACACGAACTTGTATGTATACAGTATAGTGGGTGATGTACCGCCGCGATGTTTATTGCTGATATGCTTGTATTCGCGTGCCACAGTAAGGAAACATCATCATAAGTTGGTACGATTGTTAGTAAATGTATATTGCAAGCGTGCATTTATTATAGAATCAACCCGAAATGTTGGGCAGTCAAAAATGTCACAGTCACTAGTATTTTGACGAATTGTAAATGTTTATACTTTATAATCATGTGTAATTTGATTTAATTTTTGATTTAATAATGTTCGACAACTACTAAATTTAAATTTTAACAATGTAGTGCCAGGATACTCGCCACAGTGTCCCCAATTACGGCGAGTCCTTAATAATTACATCTAAATCACGTTAATATTAGTATTGAATAATCTAATAACAGACAACTGACATTACGCTTAACAAAACATAACATACAACAAAACATAACATACATGCAACTAGCAACATCTTAAAACACCGTCCAGGGACCTCGCCCTTCTACATTTAACACATATCGACTTCCATGTGCGTGGATCGTCACAATGGTATATTTTGGATAGCGCGTGTTCGTAATATGTCTTAAGTTTTGATTTAAAGGTATTCAGACCAATATCTCTGTGACGAAGATCACAGCCCAAAATGTTCCATGTTTTACATGCTCTAATGAAATAAGAAGTCTGGAAGGTCACCGTACTGGCAAATGGTATTGAAAATTTATATACGTTCTCATTTGTTTCGCTCCTCGTTATTCCAGAACCAGCCATTGTTGGTCGGGCACTGTCATCGATATATGTGTAGCCATTGATTATTTTGTAGAGTAGAACTAAATCCAAATATTCGTGCCAATAAGTTAAAGGAAGTAAGTCGAGTCGAAGTAGTCTTGTTGTATATGGAACGTTGGTGATAAAACCGAGATTTAAAATGTATTTTGTCGCCCTTCTCTGTACCTTCTCGATATTCTCGATTAATTTGATTGATTGTGGAGACCATACTTGAGACGCATACGCAAAATTGTTGCGGACCAGTTGTAAGTAAAGGTACCTCCTCGCCCCGATGTCATGCATTTCCATTGTAGTCCGTCGTATAAATCCAAGCATTTTATTAGCTTTAGATCGCACCCTGTTTACTTGATTGATCCAGGTTAGGTTGGAATTCATAACAACGCCTAGATCAATTTCAGTGTTAGACAAAGCCAGTTGTTGACCGTCAAGACTATACGAAGTGATTAGCGGAGATGATTTCCTTGTGATAGAAAGTACTTTACACTTAGAATTGTTAAAACGCAACCTGTTTTCCTCTGACCAAGATTGGAGACTCCGTATATCTTCTTGTAAAACCAAGGCATCAGAAGGGTTCTGCACGGCTTTATAGAGTTTGGTGTCATCAGCGAACAAACCGACCCCAGTAGAGGAGGATAAGTGGTTAGGTAAGTCGTTTATGTAAATAGAGAAGAGGAAGGGACTCAATAATGATCCTTGTGGAACGCCAGATGTAATAGGCAAGGATTGTGATGTAGCTCCATGAACAGTTACCCGCTGGAAGCGTCCTGATAAATAATTTTGAAACCAGAGGAGAACAGAACCAGAGAAACCAAATTCACGCAGTTTTCGCAACAAGTTGGAGTGGTCAACAGTGTCGAAAGCCTTCGCAATGTCCATAAAAACAACGTCAGTTTGTAACCCCTTGTCCAAGTTCTCCCCAATAGTGTTTAAAATGGATAACAATTGTGTTGCACACGACCTACCGCTTACGAAACCAAACTGCGCTGAATGAATGTTAGATTGTATATGATGAGATATATGGTTGAGTACACATCGTTCAAGAGTTTTGCTTACGATGGATAACAAGGAGATTGGGCGGTAATTTTCAACGTGGTCCTTGTTACCTTTCTTGTGTATTGGAATAATGTTCGCTAATTTCCATTCCGCGGGAACCTGGGATATTTTGAGTGACTTAGTAAAAAGGTAATGAAGTGATGGCGCCAATTGGTGAGCACATTCTTTCAGAATACGTGAAGGAAGCCCGTCAGGACCATGAGCTTTGGAAGGGTCTAAGTTCTGTAGAGCATGGCACACTTCTTCTTGGGTGAGATCAATTGATGAAATACTTGATATTGAAGAAGATGAACTAGGTTGAGTTGAGGATGGTTGTTCCAAGACGCTGGTGTATACCGAATGAAAGTACTCGTTAAACATTGATGCAATATTATGCGGTGTGGATGCCTGTGATTTACTTTCAGGATTGTTCGTACAAATTCTCGAGACTGAGTTGGGTACACTTCCAGAACATGACTTAATTTTGAAGATGGACCAAAAACGTTTGGGATTAATCTTTAATGTGCTGCCTAAGGATTGGAAAAACGACTCTCTGCTTTCTTTAATTGCTTTCTTGACTTAATTGCTTTGCGAATTACTTTCTTTAATTGATTTCTTGCAAGTAATTCGCTGGCAATTCTCTCGTTGATTGCGATTAAAAATAGCCAGCGGGAGAGTCGAGAGGGGGGGGGGGGG